ATAATAGTAACTCAGCAGACTGTGATGGGAACTAAACGCATCGATAATAAATAAAGCACTTGGAAAAATGCCTGGCACATAGTAAGTGCTCAATAAATTTAGCTATTATCATTTCATATGTGTTGATATCTTATAAGCCAACATAGTTAATTGTTGTATATTTTAATAAAATATATTTGTATATTTAATAATCTTTGTATATTTAATAATAAAACATTATACTTATAAAATCCTCTAGGTATAACAAACTTTTAAAAATCAATGCTGATCGCTGAATCTCTGTTTCCTCCTCCCTGTGCCTGAGACCAGCACACTCATCTCACAATGATCAGCGGGCGGTCGCCCACACCACCAAGCACCTACTGGAGGGAGAGGCCTTGCTGGGCCTGATTAAAGAAGGTCTTTGTGGGCCTGGCCCTGCACTTGGGCCAGAGAACTGAGACCAAAGGAATCCAAACCCTATCCAGATCTTAAAGAGAAAACACTTTTAATCTGAAGCCATGTAGGAATTAATCCATCTTTTCCACATCTGCGACACAGAAGAGGCTGGACTATAGAAATGAAATACAAGACAGAGAAAGGTTCTCACAGTTCAGCTTTTATTAAAATGGAAGTAACAAAGTGTGGGAAACTAGAACATGATTCCTGTTAAAATGATACACTCAAGGAACTGTTTCTTCGGAGAGCACTGTAACTGATCAAGCATGTGATGAGTGTTGGTTTACAACATAGACAGTCCCTACTGTCCAAGCAGAAAACACCAGACAAGGGTCTTTCCTATGCAATGTATTGGACGGGTCAGTGGTCAAGTCTGCCTGCCTATGGACAATCACAGACAGAGTGCCCACACAGACATACACATTCAGTGTCTTGAGTTTCCTTTCAAAGAAAGTATTTTACACATCATATACAAATTAAGTCCAATGAGGGTCCTTTATTGCCACTGAAATGGAAGGGGGGGGGATAATTTTAAATTCATAACCAAAGGCAAGAACATAGCACTAGAGCGATTTGTTTCTCCAAACGCCACAGTCCCGTGTGCTCCTGCCGTGGCTGATCCATGTGAGTCCCGTGACGAGGCTGCACAGGCTGCGAGGTGTAATCCTCCGTCCCCGATGCTGGCGGAGCTGCCAGCTCCCTTGATGGTCAGTAGGTGCCCAGCACAGCTGGGCATGAGGGCTTAGAACTCTGAATAGTGCAAACACTTAAAGAAAATACATTCCAACCTCCTTGCTTCTCTAGGCAAACACTTGAAAACTCCAGCTGGCTGGAATGAGTTTGCTCAGCCTCCCAACTTGACCCAACAAGGTGCAAATGGGGAGCATGGAGGCAATTCAAATGGCACCTGTCCCAATAGTAATAAAAATAAAGTATTTTTAATGAGGCTAACGGCAGATAAATACACAAAAGAGACCTAGAGTGTAGACACAGCCCAAGAAACAAGTACTTTTGTAAGTGTAGTGTGAGCAGCCAGGAAGCACATGCTTGGCACATTCTTCCTGGGGTCATGAGAGTGACCCTCTGTAAGTTCACAGGCAACAGGCTTCCAAAGGGGCATCACCTGGCTGCAAGGGCCTTCAGCTGCTGGAAGCTTCAGAAGACTGAGGAGACAGATGAGATGAGGATGGGTCTACTGGACCTAAGACTCCCCTGGGAGCAGGTCCTGGGGGGCAGGCCTTTTTCTGGGGCTTCCCTAAGCCACAGTGACCAGGCTGTGCCAACCAGCCTCACCACTGCAAGAAGCAAACTCCAAACAAGCAGACGCAGGTGGATGAGTGCTGAGGAGGCTTAACGTTAGTCCCAAGGGTTTCAGAAAACACCGGTGGTGACTGTGTTTTCTACCTGGAGCTAGAGAACAGAGACCAAAGGAACCCGGATCCTATCCAGGAGATCTTAAAAAGAAAACACTTTTCATCTGAAGACATATGAGAATTAATCTTCTGAAAATCCATTTTGGGAACATGAGAAACGTAGGGAAGATAGCTATAGGCATGGACTAAGAGTGACTGACAGACAGAACAAAATATTTCATTATCATGGACAACAAAAAGCAATTCAAATATCCTGAAAAATTATCTTATAAAAATACCTACATTCAGTTTTTGCCTGAAAGCTATAGCTTTGATTTTATAAAAAGGCAGTCTCTGAAAGGATCTGGCTCAGGAATATACGAACATCACACAACAAATATCAAAAGTAAGACAGCTCAAAAAGCATTTTAAGGGATGTTGCAACTGGTGTGCCATGAAACAAAATGGAGTGTTCTTATTGCATAGAGAAAATGAGGTCACTTTCATTTGCATAATACTGCAACTTTTAGGTGGAGAGATGCCATTGGGTATGTATGAGAAATCACTTTGGAATTCAGAGTCTGGCTTCTGTGTAGTCCAAATCAATATCCAAGTGGCATCTAAGCTGCTGCTTACTTTGGGCCACAATTCTATTTCATGACTGTGATGGGATTTCAGACACATCACTGGCAAAAAGCTGCATTCACAAGTAGTTGTGGCCACCTGCACGGGGGTTGGGGGTTCGTCTACCACGTGACCAGCATGGACTTGAAAATAAGTGTGCTTGTCCACAGTGGAGAGAGAATAGTACCTGGTGACAAAGAGGCATCTAGTTTTTATGGCATCTGTGGGCAGTTAGAGCAGTTTGGCTTTTTAGTGATGACATACCAGTGTCCCAGTCCCGGGGAGAAAGGGCACAAGGAGAAAATGAACGTGGCCTGAGCGGCACCACCAGTAGGGGGCGGTGCTTCCTTGGAGGAGAGGCATGAGGGGGAACCAATAGCAAAAGCCCAAAAGCAAGAAAGATGGCTAGCTTTCAGGGAAGGGACCCGCTGGGAAGACGACATACAAACAGCAGCCTCTCCCACACAAGCGTGGAAGTCCAGCTGCTACGTGGAGGGAAGGGGCTGGGATCTGAAACCAGCTGTGGGAACAGCACACATCAGACCCAATCTCACCCTCACCCCCAACACACACACACACACACACACACACACACACACCAAAATTAAGTCCAAAACCTTCCGCAGAGAGGGAGGAAGAACATTTGGAACAAAAAGCTCATTCCATCAGCTTCCAACCCAGAGCCGGCAGGGCTCTGAAACTAGCCATCTCCATGTCTCTGTGTCTCCGTGTCTGTGTCTCCGTGTCTGTGTCTCCGTGTCTCTGTGTCTCCGTGCTGGTGAGAGCAGAGCACCAACTGGAAGAGTGCCCCGACTTCCCTGAAGGCATTTCTCACGGTCCCACCAAAGCTGGTATTCTGGCCTCTTCCCAAATCTAGAAATTCTGGGTGCCTTGGTCCTCTCCAGATCTCTCATTGAAATGACATCTGCTCAACATAAGAAGTTTCATCTTCAAGAGAGTCCAGTGTTTAGTGCACAATATACTGTAAATACAAAAAGTGGCCAACTAGCCAGGGAAGATCCTGGGTTTCCAACTGTGAGCGTGAGGGGGAGGGAATGCTGGTCTCCTACAGCATCCACTTAGAAGGAGCCCAGATGGATCAGAAGTCCAGTGTCAGGCTCATAAGCCCCTCGGCTCCCTCTGCGGGGACCCTGACATCATGGAAGGTTAAATCCCAGACACAAGACCTCCCCTCCTTATGCCAGAAATCCCAATGTTAGCAACTTGCTAATTTAGGAACAACATAGCTTTAAGGTTATTTTTAATGCAAATGACTCTGTGTACCCTCAAATACCTCCCTGCAGACTCTTGAAATTGTCTTTAATAACTTTTACCTGTGAACTAGCAAAATTCTCTTTAGCTCCTCTCTTAAAATGCAGGTCCCCCTGAGAGAGAGCACACATCCAGAGCCTACCATCTCCTTCTCCACAGGGGAAGTAAGGAGGAGGGGAGTGTTCTGAGGGCTGGAGAGAGGGTACAGAGCACAAGGAAAGGAAGACAAGGACCTGAAACAGACTTGACCACCATCATGAAGTGCCAACGAGTAGCCCAGCTGGTATATTCCTTCCATCCATGACGTCTGAAGCACATGCGACCCCATCCGATGCAGGACAAACCAGGCTGTGGGTGGGAGGTAGGGTGACCTCTTACTTATCCTCCATATCAGAACACTTTCGATGGTAAAAAGGATGTTGGGAATAATTACTTCGGGATAATAAATATAATGGGGACTTGCATATCCTGGAGAAATCCAGAAGTAGGCTTCTCTCTGAGACTTTTGTGGCCAGGGACTGAAGCCTTTCCACTTTGGTGTTTGTTTTTGTTTTTCATGTATTTTTTCCTAGTGTGTTACTCAGGGCTTCTCTGAAGAGCTAGCTGAAGAGACACAAACTTCCCAAACCTAGGATTCATGACATCAAAAACCAGTGGTCCAAAGACAGCAGCTCTTGTGAGTTTCCTGCAGAAGAGACCAAGGAAGAGCCCGTTTGCTCCTAGCTCTAGCACAGAGAGGTCACGGTGCAGTTTGAGAATGCTCATCTCTTCAGAGCCACAGTCAAGCCAGCATGTGGGCATGGCCAGAGCACTGCCTCCCTTGCCAGTCATTTCTTGACATCCCTGTCCAACTGGACATGCTGGAGGCAAAGGCAGCCATAGTCTTAAGGTGCCCACAGGAAGAGAGTTTCTGTGATTTGATTTTTAGCACAGCGGGAGGATCAGTAGTACAGAAATCCAGTAGACTGTCACACCCCACCCCCAACTTAGTGAGATATCCTGTTCTAAACACACATACACACAACACTCTCTCTGAGGCACACACACATACATACACATTCTCATACACACGTTCTCCCTGTAGCCCAGAGCTATCAGACCCATGGCTCGGGCAGAGGCTAAACACCCTCAGAGGTACAGGAGGTGGGGCCCCAGTCTTCACTCCAGACTCCACTCTGCCAAGTCAGAGGAGGACGGTTCTCACTCCGCTGCAGACTCTCCCCGCGAGTGTGATCCAGCTGACGTGACCCCTCTCTTTTGAGTCCCAGGCAGCACCCCTCCCTTACCCCACGTCCTGGAAGTGGGAGTTAGAGGTCACAAGGGCTTGTGAATCACAGCGACACCTAAGATAAAAGGGGAGAACATTACCATCTCAGTCTCTCCAAAGAGTCCATGAATATAAGACATCCTAAACTGCAGCAAGGGAAAACTAAATTGCAATCCTACCTCAGCCACCGGGTCAAACTACACTGTCACCTCCTGACCTCTATAGAGTCCATTCCAATATTATTCAGTGTCATCTAACTGAATGCCCTTCCCCCAGTGCTAAGTTCTATCCTTGGATAAACACTCCAGAATGTCCATATGTGGTGCAGTTTTAGCCAAGTTGAACCACACTCTCAAGAGCAAACTTTGTAAATCTGTGTATGACCCTGCACCCCTCTGCAATGGATGAAGCCACATAGCAGATACTGTGTAGGCTGGTTCAGCCAACATCCCCCAAGTTTCTGTCCTCTATACAGAGACCAGCAATTAGGAGCCCAGCTTCCCAGACTCTCTTTCAGCTGGAAGGGCCATGTGACCCAGTCCTGGCCAACACCATTGTGAATGCAAGTCTGCCCGTGCTACCACCTCGGCTTTGTCCCTTGTCCTGCTTAGATTGCTCACCCAAGGCCCAAGGCTGCAGCAGAAGCTACTAATGAAGCTGGCAGGACAGAAAAGAGGAAGTCCTGGCTCTTCAATCACAGTCTGAACCTCCAGACCTGCCCTTAACTTCTTTACTTCTTTCTTCCCCGAGACAGACATAATCCTTTCATACTTCTACAGGTATCTGTAAACTTTTCTGGTACTTGCAGCTGAACAAAGCCCTAACTTACGTGTAGGGTCTACAGAAATGATGGTACCTGGATCCTTATTTTAATATATTCCCATGACTATAAAACCTCCTGGTTGAAGGTGAAATTAATAGAGCATTGCTAAAAGAAAAAAAAAGAAAAAAAAAGAAAAAAAAAAAAAAGAAAAAAAAGAAAAGAAAAGAAAAGAAAAAGAAACAGTATACCCCAATGGTGAGATTCTGCTAAGAAATCCATTTCATGGTCATTTCTAGACATAAAAGCTTTGCTGTATCAGAACCAGAGTCTTCAGACCCGATATGCTGCCTGACCTTGAGGACATCTCGCTGCACCCCATTCTCAATTCCCATTCACAAGGTAGCTTTTTTTTAAAGCATGTTCCTGTATTGTTTCTTAAATATAAACTTTCTCTTTTTATTATACAAGTAAAGTATTCCCATTATGGAAAATTTGGTAAGAGGTAGGGTGACTTAAAGTACAGACAAATACAACGTAAAAGAACTTGAGTCCCTTCTTACAAAGAGAATCACCATTACCTTTTTGGAATATTTCCTGGCTTCTTATATAATCACAATAATTTTCTGAGTGGTTTCCATGTGCTAACCACTTTCCAACTATAATCACATTTCATTCTCACAACAGCCCTAAGAGGCTTGGTATAATTTTGTTCTCATTTTACAAATGAGAAAACAGAGGTTCAGCCAGATTGATTACCTTGCCCAGAGTCCCAGGGCAAGGTAATTCTAAGCACTCACACCTGAGTCTTTCCCTCTGGTTAAGGCATGCGTGGAGCCAAGGAGTGTCCCTTGCGGGCCCCACTACCTCCTGCTAGAAAATGCCCTGCCTGTCCCACTGTGACTTCAAGAAGAAAATGACACCCTGGTTTTAATAATTAACCCTGGGAAGAGAATCACTCTAGAACAAAAATACCTCTAAAATCTTGTACTGAGTAAAGAAAAATCCTAAATGAGTGAATGAAAGTAAAGTAAGTTCACTGCAATTAAAGCCCTATGTTGACAGCATGTGAGAGGTGAGCCTGCCACACCCAATCTTCCTTTGCCCTGAAATCCAAACAAGAAGGAGTGAATGAATGAACTGTCTAACAGAGAAAGGAAATGGGAATACCACCAGCATCGTCCTTAAGTGGACTAAATAAGATAAGAGTCCTCCAATACTTAGGATTATGCCTGGCACATTGTATGTGCTCAATAAGCACATGTTAGCTCTAATTATTCCAGTTTCTGGAGAACCAGATACAAGGCACTGGGCTATATGATGGAAACATGTTTGCTTGTCTATCTATTGACCCCTGACCTCAGCAACACCAACTCTGATCCTGCCCCTGCACCAAACCCATCACACACTCCCCAGGAATAACCTCATGTATTCCTTCCCCCCAGTGTTTTGCCTGGAATGCTTTTTTCCCCCAACTCAGAGCTGGGTCATACAAGGGGTATGGTTTGAGAGTCAGACCTGGTTTGAATTCTGACTTTGCCATTTTTTAGCTATGTGGTCTTGAGCAGGTTACTCAAGCCCTCTAAATCTATTTCATCATGTAACATTTGGCCAGAGGGCTGTTGAAAACATCTACACTGCACTAACACACTGCCCGGGGGCACAGGGAGCAGAGGAGGCACCGGCAAAGGGCAGCTTCCTGCGTGACTGATCTGCCCTCAAAGTTCAATCAGCTCCATCTCCTCAGCAGTTCTTCCCTGACTGACAGCTCTCACCTACCGGGTCCTAACGCCTGTATAGAGCATTCCACTAGGAATTTGTGTGTGCATCAACTTGTGGGTACTGTTTTGTGTAGGCAGATCTTAACTTCCAATTTCTGGAAAGCAAGAACTGCATCGTATTCCACCTAGAAGACCAGCACAAAACAAACCAGGAATGGCAATAACATTCCAAAGCCTCTAATGACTTCGATCAATCGGAAGAGGCTCCCTAGAGCCTATGTTAAGACTTCTGCGCAGCCGTGTGAAATTCAGTGCCCGCCCAATCATGGCAGGTACTGGCCCAGGAGGCTGCCATAGACACACTGGCTCATGGCCCTGACCGCCTCTGCTGGGCCTAGGGATAAGTTTAGTTACAGATACAAAGGGGGGCAAAAGAAAGAAAAAGGAAAGACTTGGGAACTTACATTCGGGCTTGCTGGGGAAACAAGTGCTAATTGTGGGCACCTGTAATGAGCAGAGAATGAAGGCGTGGCCATCCCTGGAAGAGGCTCTCAGTTCTAAGTCAGCAAGCTTACCCCCTGCCCCTCTGAACCCCTCGCGTGGGGTGGGGCACACCGACCTGCGTAGCTCCGCCCCGTGCTCATGTTGGTTGGCAGCAGCGTCCATTTGTCAGTGGCGGGATTGTAGTACTCCACCGAAGCCAGGTTGCAGGATCCGTCATCCCCTCCAACCACATACAGGAGCCCGTTCACCGCACAGACCCCTGGGTGTCAAACAGAAGCCATGGGAAATGTGGCAGCAGGAGCACAAGGGATCGGAATGCACACGCGACAAATCTGGATTGCCCTGGAGGCTCTTTCTCCACTTCATGACAGCAAAAAAGAGAGCTGGCAAAAGCACATACTGAAAGCAGCCACTGGCTCTGCGATCCCCTTTCTACCAGGCCACTTCTCTGACTGGGGAGCTTCCAGACTACATGGTCTTGCGATCGTTCCCAGTCCCCTACTCTATAAACAGGAAGAGCGCTAAGGGGACAGGCCCGTCTTCTGGAGTGTTGCCCACCGGTGCACCCACCTCCCATGCCCAGCCTGAGCTGCAGGGTGACAACTCGGGGAATTTCATGCACCTGCTTCCGCTCTTCTCGGAAGCTTTTCCCTGAGACACCCTATTAGACTCACACCGTGTGGAGCTCAGGACCGTGTCTCTGATCCCTTCACATTTCTGGGTCTGAGTCCACTCACGGCTCCCAGGGAGGTGGCACCTCACCCACCTCATCTCACAGGGAGCTGGTTTGGGGGCAGGGTGTCATGAGCGGGAATTCAACATAAGACAAAATAATCTTTGCTCATCCAGTCTTTAAAAAGCCATAGTCTAATATACTGTGTGTTTTTAAAATTAGAATAAGAGATTGATGATGCTCAAAAAATAGTAACTATCCATATTGGTGAAGATCCTCTAAAATACTGCACCCACTTCCCGGGTGGTGTCGAAAGCACATGTGCCCCTTGTGACTCAAAAATGCACTTCTGGCCTTTTATTCTAAAAAATAATTTCATATGTATGCATCGGTTAACTAGAAGGACAATTTATAATAACCAAAGCATTACTTATAGAAAGGGTGGAAATAATCTAAAATGTCCCCTAGTGAATTCGTTAAATTATTATATGGACATTTAAGTAATTTCATGTCAATATATTTATAAGATATTCATAAAAGATTATAAAGTGAATTTAAAAGATTCACTTTTAAGATTCACTCAAACACTATTAGAGTGATTCAATTTCTGTCATAAAAAATAGAAATGTCTATATGTGAATGTGTGTACATATACGTGTTTCCATCTAAATTAATCCTCAGACTGCAGATGCACTAGCTATCTTGCGGATTCTGTAATTCCTCACTCAGGTGGCTTAAAGGACAAGTTATATCACAGCACGCTTAGACCACGAGCAAATTAATGAACTCTGTTTACTGTTTCAACAAGTCAGCTACAAATGGGTTTAACCAACAGGGGATTTGAATTAAAGGAAATAAACCTGCCTGGAAGCCACCTGTTTGTCTTTCTAACCTGAGGAGCTGGGTTAAGCCAACCTTCAGAGAGTAAGGAGGCTTACAGCAGACATACCCGCACAGGCCACGGCCCAAAGGGCAAAGTTCTAATAAAAGTTTAAAGGGGGTATTAGGCTCCAGGAAGAAAAACCTAAACACTCGAAGGAACGTCATTTCTGTACGAAAGGGAAAGGGTAGGGAAGGGACAGGAAATAGGAAGGAGGGAGTGAGGGGCGTGGTTCTCTTGGAGAATGAATCATAAATCCGTTCACAGGTGCCCCTGAAAGGAAGCTGACTGGTTTCAGGCGGAAAGTGGGAGGTTCCCAGAGCCACGTCCTGGCAAAGAAAATATAAAACCAAGTGCTGCTGTCCAGTGATGTCCTCGTAGCATCGATGGCACCCAGAGGGCTCTTCCGCTGTCCATCTCTGTGCACTGAAAGTCAGCACCTTTCACTGAGAGGAAGGCACCCTCTGCACCTCAGTGGGGACCCTGTGGCTAGCTTTTGGGGTTCCAAGCTCTCCCTCCAGTAGCCCAGAGCCTACCAGCAAGTGGACATCCCTGTTCATGAGACAGCTCAGCCCCGGCCTGGGAGCCTGAGAGCCAGTGTTTGCGGAGAAAAGACCCACACCCCCGAGGGAGGCAGAGAGCGGCCGCGTTACCTGCATTGCGCCGGCACATGTTCATGTCAGCCACCTGCTTCCAGGTGTTTGTTCCAGGATCATAAACCTCAACGCTCTTCCTCACCAAGGGCCCATCGTGCCCTCCTGTGGCATACAGCTGTCCGCTGAGGACCCCGACCCCTGAAAGGCAGAGCACAGTGTCCCCCCTCAGGCTGGCTGCAGGGACCAGAAACTAGGAGGCCTGGCATCCGGTCCTGACAGCGACCACCAGCAGGTGACGTGAGAGTGCTGGTTTGTCCCCTGGTCCCTCCGTGTCCTCATCTGGGAAACAAATGCAATACCCTGCCGCCTCGTATGATTGTCAGCCTTTGAACATCGAAATAAAAAGCGAATATGACCCCACTTCTACTTAAAAAACCAAAAACATATTTTATATGTGCATATACATAATATGCGTATGCATGTGTAAATAAATGGAGGTTCATATAAAAAAAAGGGGGGGGAGGGACTGAAAAAACTCCACAACATTAAAAGTGGCTATTTCTGAGTGGTAAAACTGTATTTCTTCTCCTCTCACCTAGTTTTCCTTCACTGTGGTATTACTTTCATTACTCAGCCTCTTAGCCGTTGGACAGAAAGAGTTAAAGATGGAAACAGTCACACAGCAGGAGTGCTGAGGTCATTACTGCAGATCTCCAAGCCAGTCTGCAAGCAGAAGCCCTTCTCCGCTCCTTACCCCCCACCCCCCACCCTTTTCCTCCCCCCTCTCCCCCCTTCTCCTCTAGATGGCAGAGAAGGGCATCAAATCACTCACAGTGTTGACAGGCCTCAGCTGAGGGCTAGAATTGCATTCTTCACAAGTTTTAATATAACCATTAAAAATCCTTTCATATAGCCCTGAACAGTTTGGGTCAGTGGCTAGAGCAGTGGCCTGCAGACTGAAGGGTTCTGGGTTCAATTCCGGTCAAGAACATGTACCTTGGTTGCAGGATTAACTCTCCTTCCGCCTCACCCCCCACCACCTGCCCCCCACATGCAGGCACATGATCACATGGGCGAGGCAACCAATCCATGAGTCTCTCTCACATTGATGTTTCTGAATCTCCTCCTCCTTCCACTCTCTAAAAAACAGGGGGGCGGAGGAATCCTCAGGTGCAGATTATCAAAACAAAACAAAAATCTTTTTAAAAAGTCAAGAAAAGCAAAGCCAGAGAGGAGGAGGGTGGCCTAGGAAGAAGAACCTGGTGGCTAGGACACCTGGGTCCTGGCCAGGTCTCTAACGTCCCCTTCCTGGGATGGGGATCCCATTGTATGTGCAGTGGTCAGTAAACTGCAGCTCGTGAGCACATGTGGCTCTTTGGCCCCTTGAGTTTTTAGCAAAGGCCAGCTTAGGAGTACCCTAACTAATAACAAGACACCTACCTACATAGTTTAAGTTTAAAAAATTTGGCTCTCAAAAGAAATCTCAATCGTTGTACTATTGATATTTGACTCTGTCGACTAAGGAGTTTGCCGACCACTGGGCTAGTGCCCCACAGACTCCGGCCGACAAGCTGCAGTGAACCAGCGGGCTGCAGGCTTCCCTCCCGGAGAGCCTGGCCGGGAGTCAGTACCTCACGTGATGGGGAGTGCAACCAGGTTTTAGACGCACAGACCCAGGTCTTTCACGTGTTTCCCTGTGCCTGAAGGTAGGTTTTTAACAAATATTGTTTGAGTGACAGAATACATAAAATTTCCTTCAGCAATTATGCTGCTTGGCTAGTGGCTCCTTGCAGTTGCCCTAATCTAACAGCAGATGGTAGTGTTGTATCAGCAATGACTAATCTAATGGGTTTAGGACAGGGATTTTTCAACTGGTGTGCAGCAATAATTGGAAAACACGCATTATTTGACTATTTAGAGGCACTGACTTCTTTCCCCTTAGATTGTGAAATAAAAAATGACAAGAGCCAACACAACAATAGCCATCTAGTGTGAATGAATCAAAATTATACCTTTTTTTTTTTTGCGGATTAGCAAAAAACATAGTTTTTGGTGTGCCATAGAATCTTAGTGATTAGTTTGTGTGTGGTGAGATGAAACGGTGGAAACTGGCTTAGGATAATAAAATTTAGTATCCCAAAGCTGCTTCACCTTCCCCTCCACACGCAGCAGGAACTGGCACACGCCAGGACCAAAATGGCCTTTTCCCCACAGCCATCTGCTGGCAGTCGCCATGCCCGCTGAGGGAGCAGGCAGCCTCCCAGGCTCGGGGCACCCTGCCCTTTTGCCACCGCCTCTGTAAACATCCACACAGAGGCTTCCTGGACCTACAGCCACAGAGCTCCTGGCACCACAGAGGGCCTCCGGGTCCTCAGCCACCAAAGACTACCCACAACCACACGAGGGGTTCCCAACGCCAGAGGGGAGGCCAATGCCTAAATCACGGTCCCTGCTTCCCCAGAACAGCAGCGTTGTAACCGTCCAGGACTCCCAACCAGGTGAGAGGCAGGATCGGCCGAGTGATCGCCTCTCAGCAACAGCCCTGAGCAGCCCGGCAGGCGGAGCAGCGAGGCCTCCAAGGCAGCTCTGTGCACAGCTGAGCCTGCATCCTGAGGCAGGTCTGTGTCCTCGGCTCCACACGGGGTGGCCCTTCTTCAATTCCTGCTCAGGACGTTTCTAAAAGCAACCACACGTTTCATTGGGTGCTGCTCACTCCTGCTGAGCTGTCCCTACTTCCTTGGGCTTAAACACTTGCTCTCACCCTCAAGTCTCTTAGAGGACTTTTAGGAAGTACAAAAAAGACTCCAAAATTACTAAAAGAACTTATGGATAGTGCTTGTCCTACTACTTTGTAAGATTGGGATGCTAATAATTTGGAGGTCAAAATGGCTCACTTTGAAGTAAGATAGGTCTGAGTGGGAATCCTGACTCTGCCAGTTCCTAAGGATATATAACCTTGAGCAAATTACTCAGTCCCCGGCTGGCTTACGTTTTTAATCCGTTAAGTGAAATTAATATTGTGTCTACCTCATAGGACTGTGGTGTGGATTAAATAAATTGAGTAATAGAAAGTCATTAGGACAGAGCCTGGCACATACCAAGCCCTACTTTCAGGAGAGGTAGGCATCCCAACAGAAATGGGATGGAGGGATGATGATGAAGAGAATACTGTCTCATCTATTTTCTAGCAAAGTGATCCCCAGGGAAAGGTTACCGGGGGTTATGTACACTGAAAGGAAGGAAGAGGGGGGTTAACAGATAGGATGTTAAGTTGCTGGTCTCCAGACCCACCTGTGAGCAGATCAGTCAGAGCCTGCGCCCTGAGGCTCCCCCCGTACCTGCGCCACTGCGGCGGGTGCTCATGTCCGCCACGTACGTCCACTCGTTGGTCGCCGGGTTGTACTGCTCCACGGTGCTCAGGCACTGGCGGGAAGCCCCATCGTAACCGCCAACAGCATAGAGCTTTCCTGGAACAGACAGAGTAGCTGAGGATGGTGCCCGGGACACTGGCATGAAAACACAGGGTGGCTGCAACTCCACCTTTAACTCACTGGGCACCCTCATCTGCATCAGAGCTCAGGACCCTTTCACTCCCCAGCCAGGAGAAGCCTCCTTCACACACTTCTCAGACTTTGACTTCTTCCTGTGTACTGAGCTCCACACAGCTCAGAGGTATGTATGGCTCAGCACTGCTGGGGCCCAGCATATTCTTACTGGTGAGCCATGTCAGGTGTTCTCCAGAATGAGGTACTGAGAGGTAGAAGACAAGAGGGCCCCAGCTACAGGCAGGCAGGTTGGTTCTCTGACTAAATGCTCACACTGGCAGACAGAACAAATATGGGGAAATATTCTTTGGTAAGAACCCAAACTCTGTCTTAGCCATGGTTTATGCTCTGTCCGCAACTCTCACGGGTGGAGCATGTGAGTGGAGGGCTCGGGGTGCATGCTGGGCTGACGTGGCTGAAATGAGTCTGCACACTCCCTTGTGATCTCTAAGCCCTGAATCAAAATCACTGACTTGTAAAATAAAAATACCACAAGCTGTTAGCTAAGAGCATCATTTCTGCCTGAGATGGGGATGAGGTTGGGAAAAGGACATTATTTGACTTCTCCCAGAGCAGGGGTTGAAACATTTTGGGCTAAACATGTAGTCTCAGAATAAAGTAGGAGGGTCTCGTGTGTGTGTGTGTGTGTGTGTGTGTGTGTGTGTGTGTGTGTGTGATGGGGAATCCTGGCTTACTTGGAATCCTAGCTTACCTGTAGACCCCAAACCTAAGGGGGACCATGCAGTTATAACAAAGATCTTAAACACTATAGACTAAATAACCACCACCAGATGAAAATCTACTTAACAGAGTTGATTAAAATATTTTTGTCAACTTGTGCTTCCTTAATAGAGAAATACCAAGAGTACAACTACTGTAGTGTGTGAAAATCTGCCGTTATTTTATGCTAGAAAAAGATTGTCAGGCTCAAAATGATGCTCTAGCATCAGGACTCTTGCCATATCAGGATTCTACCACCAACTGCCCTGCAGGGACTCAAATCTGTTCAATTGTTTTTTTCTTCTGTCCTTGGGCCTGGTGTTGTTTTCTGCCCCACAGTCCTCCCAACTGGCCCTTCTATAAAAAGGAGCACCTCCTTCCCAGTTCTGCCCGAGAGAGAAAACTGACTCAGCAGCTCCTCCGGGTCCAGGCCATGCTCTCAGTGTGTGCTGGCTCGGACACAACCACCTGCTCATCCAGCTGCCCGCCGCTCGTCAAAGCCTAATGTCAGGGAGGAGAAAGGCCTGGGGTGTGAGAGAGACAGGAAGCTCTGGAGGGCAACCCCAGGTGAGAGGCAGAAGTGGCCCAGGTGATCTCCTAGAAACCTATTTCTCCGAAACATGCGACCTTTGCTCCGTTGGAGCTTTTGCCTAATCTCTGAGCCTCACTGTCCCTTTTCCTAAGTAGGAATTCTTCTAAGCAGCCAGTAGCAAATGATCCTGATCTCCACTCTTTGTTTTTTTCTGGTGTCATTCAGCCTGTATAGCCATGGTCAGGGGATGATGAGAGGGAGGAGCCACGTGGAGACCATGTGGAGAGCTGCATCGACAAGGCCACCATGAAGCTGACAAGGCCACCGTGAAGTCCCGTGAAGTCCACTGCAGAACCTCCCTTTAAGGACTCTGCTGCCCAGGATCAGTCACAGCCAAAAGAGCTTCTGACTCAGGATGGACAAGGTGAACAAATGCCCACAGGGCATGAGACAAGACAGCCTTCTTCCACATAACACAACGTGCTCCCAAGCCCCTGTCAAAGGGAGTATTTGAAATGATAGCCATGGAGGTGCCTCCTCTAATCCCCATCAACCATTCTGACCCTGTGTCAACTGGAAAATACCCTCTCAAAGTTCTCCTTGAATCCATTAACAGGGATATGCTATTTAAACCCCTACTTGATTGTTTGGTACTCCTGGCTAAGGAACAAGGGATGAAATGGGAAGGTGGCTAGACAAAGCACTTAGATTTGGCAGACAAATCAATTTCTCTTCCACTAGGAGGATGAGATTGCAAGAAATAATTTATCTTTGCAGAGGATAAAATACTTGCGCTCACTAAGATGACCTGTCCAGGTCTTAGAATAATATGAAAATTTAAACTACACAATACTGTACAGGGTGAGAAATGCAATGAGAAAAGAGAATCCTTTTATTGATGTCTAATTCACTGCACATTACACTCTGCACAGAGCACTCTGTGGTCTTGTGTGTGTGCCTGTGAGAGAGAGAAAAAATGCACATATCTGATTGCCCAGATATTACAGCTCAATCCACCTCAGGACAGCTAATAAATCAGTGTTGTTCTGCAAAGTATAACGTTTTAGCCCAAATAATATGCTATGCTTTAATTCACACAGATTTGTAAAAAACCCCATTAGCATTTTCTAATGGTCTGAAGGAGTAGCACAGTGGAAAGAGCTCTGGGTTAAGAAATTAGACCTGAGTTCAAGGACTCACTGTGCTATTTACTTACAAGAGGCAAATCACTTACCCCCACTCTGGGACTCAGTTGGCCAGAATGGAGGAAATCTAAATCTTACCTATCTCCTTCAGAAGAATTTGGGAGGTGGGAAGGGGAGGGAGGAGGGGGGGAGAGAGAGAGGGCAGTAATTGGATGTGAAAGCCATTTACAAATTTCAATGTGCTGTCTAACTAAGCTCCATATCTGCCCACTCCCTCCCACATCACCCCACACACCTTTCCTGACTGGAGCAGGAGTCTACCACCAACCTGCTCTGCAGGGACTAATCAGACTTGGGAAGAGGTACCCACCACACTCAGGTTTTTAATGTTCACCATGAGGACAAAATCAATTAAAGAGTTAACTCTCACCCCCTCTACATATTGACTCTGGATCCCTGTCCCTTCCCACTTCCCAGCATGTAGCAGCGCTATTAACAAGTGGCCAAAGTGATAAGTAGGCATTTCCCTTCTAGGCTCCTCCTAGTTTACTGACTTATTTGCTTGGGCCAGTAGCTTCACTTCTGAGTCTCCCTTTCCTCCCCTGTTAAAATAGGACTCCAGTACCTGACTCAAAGCAGTAGTGAAAGGAACAGAACCAGAGAACCAGGAGAAGGTCCAGGCCGGGCCGGGCCAGGCCATACCTGCTGCTGCTCCTTACCCTCCACGACACCCACACCCACACTGCTCCGCCGTGTATTCATTGGGGCCACGAAGAACCACTCGTTGGTCTTGTAGCTGTAGGCTTCCACCGATGCTAGGCCTGGGAGATGAGAGATTTGTGAGATTTCCATGGTACCAAGCCTCACCCTGCTGTGCTGGGAAACTGAGGTGGGGAAGAGTGCAGACCTGAGTGTATGGCTCAGCACTGCCTCGGCCCATGGCACCTGCCCAAAACACATCTGCAAGGGCAGGGGTTCTAACTGTACTGCTCTGCAAACATAAATTGTTAAATCTACAGGATGGAATAAATACCAGAGGCTGCTTCACTGAACACCTACCAATTCCAACACTCCTATTCCCTTCTACCTTAGAGGCTGAAAAGCTGAACACTTGCCTTCCCAGACTCCCTTGCAACTAGGGGTAACCAAATCAATATGACCTCCCCAGAAGACTGATGGGGATTTCTGAAATAGCCCTCCTGCTTTTTTGTACCTGGAACACACACATATTGGCTGTAATGGCCATCTTGTGATCATGAGGTTAAGGCCAAGAGTCTCTTACAGAACTTGGCACCAATATTGCTGAGCAACTGGATCAAGTCAGTAACTGCCAATCTCTAGACTTCTTGTTTCATGAGGAAAACAAAACCTCACAGCATTGATGGAACTCGAGAGCATTATGCTAAGTGAAATAAGTCAGTCAGAGAAAGAACAATGTCACGTGATCTCACTCATTTATGGAATATAATGAACAACCTAAACTGATGAACAAAAACAGATCCAGAGACAGAGAATCATGGATCATACTGTCTAATCTCAGAGAGAAGGTAGGGGAGGGTCGGGGTAAGGGGAAGAGATTAACCAAAGGACTTGTGTACATGCATATAAGCCTAACAATGGACACAGACAACAGGGGGGTAAGGTCATGAGTGGGGGGATAAAAGGGAGTGATGGGGGAATAGGGTCACATAATACCTTTAATCAATAAAGAAAAATTTTTTTAAATCTCTCATTTTTTTAAAGCCACAGTTTACTCAGTTTTTCTAATTACAACCAAAAGAAAATCCTAAAAGAATTCTAAAAAACACACACATACAATGTCCTACACCCTTTTGTTCTCTTTATTCCCAGGTCCTGTTACTATGAGCACTACAAACCCTGAAGTTACATGAGTGAGGCTAAGAGAAGGCTGGTAAAGATCACCAACTTGTAAAGACACACATGAAAATTTAGAAAAGTGAAAAATATTGTTTTCAAATCCTGGGGCCAAAAGATAACATTTTATTTTAATAGAGGTATTGTCTGCAGAGACTCCACCTGGAGACATGAGGAGAAATGAGATAATTTCTCCAAGTCCATGTCTGATTCTAACTTTGAAGCTAGATGACAACCAGGAACAAGGGGACATTCCTGCAGTGGCATAACTCGCAAAGATTTAGTGAGGCTTCAGGCTGTGTCCTGAGCCAGGTCTCTTGCTATGGGTGAACCTTAGCTCCCTCATCTGTCCAACAGCGGGTTCAGACTACAGTGCCGAGACGCCTTCTAGGTAAGCACGCTCTCTTTCTAAGTCTCATCTTCTGAATAAATGGTTCCCAGCCACTGGAAAGGAGAATGGGCCCTCTTCTGACTACGGGGTCCTTTCTGGAGCCTAGAAATGACAGCACATGGCAGTTACATGTTCTTTACATATTCCAGACCTGAATCTGGCACCCAAGCTGGGAGAAAGGATGGGTATGTTCTTAGGGAAGTAAATATGGATGGACAGAAGGGTTGGCCCAAGAACTGGCTGAGCAAACCAGGGTTGTGGAGGGTGTGTCCCAGGCTGGGGCAGGTGGGGACCATGTCCAGGACCTACCAGTACTGCCATCAAAGCCCCCTACGGCGTAGAGCAGGTCATTGAGCACGGCTGCCCCCAGTGTGCTCCGGCGTTCCTGCATGCTGGCAATGGACGTCCACTGGTCCTTCACACCGTCATACACATCCACTGTCCGCACACGCAGCGAGCCGTTAAACCCGCCCACAGCATACACGTGGCCAGCCATGAACACCACACCTGAGGCACGGGAAACCAAGATACACTGAGATCGTCTCAGGCATGTGAATAACTCGCCACAGAAGATGATCTCCAACCTTAGACATTTGGAAGTCATTATGGAACTCATTGGATTTTTTTTTTTTCATTTTTGCTTTTCTAATTTTGTTTAATTCAAGCAAATACTTGCATTTTAGCTGAAGTCCCTAAACACATTAAGAACTGACCCCAGAAGGGATAGCTAGAAACTGGGCAGGCGGGAAGGAAAAGAAAGAGAGTCTGTAACGCACAGATGTTTGGGGAAATAGGAGCAAAGCAGGACTCGGGCATGGAGCAGAGGCCCGCAGCGAAGGCCGCTGGGCACGGGGAGGCAGTGCTGCTCACCTGCTCTGCACCTCCTGGAAGGAAGCTCGGCAATCTGGTCCCATCGGTCCTCCTCGAAATCATAGCACTCCACGCTGCGGATCGCCTTAGGCGCCTGGCCGCCGACCACAATCATGACCTCCGGAGAGACAGGTGAACATTAGCTGGGTCTCCCCAACATCCGATTCAAGGGTGATCAGTCCCTGGTGCTTTCACGTGCTAAGTGCCCGGGGTCCATGGGTAACCTGAGATGCCAGTTTACAGAGCCACATATATGAAGATGCCGCCTCTAATCACCAACAGGCATGACTATTCAAAAAAGCCTAATGAGTGTCTTCCCACAGAAACACAACTATAAGGTCTATGTTTCCCAGATGCCACTGGCAGGGCTATCTATATTCAGAGTACTAAATCTTATATTAAAACAAAATATTCTAAAATATATATATCAAAATTTGAGTATATTTTAGAATAGAGTGCAGAATTCGGGTGCATTTTGAAGACAACATTGTTTTTACAATATTTCTGAATGCATAGACTACAGGGAGTATTTATTCATTGCAGTATGGAAAATATTTGTGAAACACTGCTTTGTGGTGGTTAGCACAAAAATGTGTGTAACTGATGATGATCTGAAAATCAGTGCTAACAGTACCATTTCAAAGAAAGGTGGTAGCTACCACTGCCAGCCATTGTACGAAATATGTTGTCATTCCCTTGTCACAACTCTGTGAGGTAGATATTATCAACTGCATTGACAGGTGAGAAAAGTAAAGCTCAGAGAACTACACTGCCTAAGGTCACAGAGCTAAGAGTGGCAGAACAGGGACTAAAAGTCAAGTCTACCTGACACAGAGGTGAGGCCAGCCCCATCCCTCTCCTGCTCTACAGACAGGGTCCATGCAAAGATAGCTCACCACATCCATGTTTTTCAAACTGCAGGTCATGGTTCAACAGTGGGCCATGGGATCAATTTAGTAGATTGCAACAAGCATACTTTTAATAAACAGCACATAAAATATAGTAAGGATATTATTGCATGAAATATTTGTCCTGGTTATACACACATATGTGTCTTGGAGAGCAATTCAAGCATATTTCTTAGAGCAGAGCAGGGGTGGGGAACCTTTTTTTCTGCCAAGGGCCATTTGGATATTTGTAACATCATTTCGGGTCATTCAAAATTATCAACTTAACAATTAGCCTGCTGTATTTGGTCAAACATTTCATTAACTCACCCCCAATGCCTTGGTAGGGCCACACCAAATTATTTCTCTGGCCTTATACAGCTCTTGGGCTAGAGATTCCCCACCCCTGGTGTAAGGTATAATATAATATAAATAAATAAATAAATAAATAAATAAATAAATAAATAAATGTCATTCTTCTGGCCACAGTAATAGAACTGCAGTACTTAACTCTGGTATCCCTGTTGTGACTTTTGTTACATGTTATTAATAAGAAAAATTAAGGTGTCAAAGTTAATAATATGTTAAATATTTTAATAAATTTGTGCAAATTCATGGCTGTCTTCATAATGACATCACTCTCACTCACAAAATACTTTCTTTAAAAAAAAACAAAAAACATTGATTTTACAGAAGAGTAAGAGAGATAGAAACATCAAGTGACTGCTTCCTGCATGCCCCGTACTGGGGATCAAGCCCACAATCCAGGCAGGTACCCTGATCTTAACAAACCAATAACCTACTGGTTCATGGGTCGATGTTTAATCACTGAGCCACACCATCTGGGCTCCAAGACACTTTCATAAGAGGAGAAAATGGGGTGGAAGTCATAAGCAACTAATCAATATAAGTCATAGAATTTTCTCATTACCTATAGCATGTCTTATTTATTCCAGTGGTTATTAAACTTCAAGGCCCATCAGAATCACCTTGAGGGTTTGTTAAAACACAAATCGTTGGATCCTGCCAGAGTTTCTAACTCAGTAGGTCTGGAGTAAGATGGAGAGTCTGCATTTCTAACAAGTTCCAGTTGATGCTGCTGCTGTTCCAAGATTCATATTTTGATAACTATTGTTTTTAACCCATAAACCACAGGATTTCCTGGTGATGTGCCAGTAACAATTTTTGCCATTATGAATTATTGTAGTGCTCTTTACTTCTTCCACAATTTATTTTTGGGGAGAGAAGTATCACCAAAATCTGTGTGAGTTCACAGACGTAGGATGCATCCCTCAGGTGAACAGTATCTGCAATATGAGGAGGCAGACAACCATTGCTCAAAATATCAAGCCTGTTTCCCCCAAGATTCCAGATTCAGGCTCACCCACTGCCTGTGTAGTCCATCACTGGTCATCAGAGTTAGTCCACAGATGTCTAGGGCCAAATGGATGACCGATGTTCAACAACTCGGAATTTAGTTCTGACTTCTGGAACTTCCCAAAGGAACCCAGAACACAGTTCAGGCTTAGATCTGCAGCTGCTTCTAGAAATAAACATTCTCCATGTGACTTTCCTTCGTGCCTAGGCACAAAGGGCCCATGCTCTCTGTGAAGGAAGCTGAATTCAACACTGCTCTCCACCTGCCATTATTCTCTTAGATAGGCATGCATGAAGAGTTTAAGGGGGTGTTAATGAACAAAGCCTCTCCACAAATTTCAGACAATACCCAAACCATCCAGGGCCAAATGACTTGCCCTGCATTCATAAACATACCTAGAACTTGCATTGTCCTTCTAGATTTGAGTTGATAAAGCTAACATGAAGTCAAATTATTGCAAAGATTTTCTTTGAAATCTAATTTGGGGAGTTCAGCGAGAATCAGACCAGTGTTAAGATCTTTCCCACCAGGGATCTCAGGCACCCAACACACTAATATGTGCTGTTTCCACTCTTTGAAACATTCCTCTTCCCTTCTGATCCTTCTGCTTCCACACACTTCTTCTGGGTCTCAGTTTACAAGTCACTTCTTCCAAAAGGGTCTCTCTAACTTCCAAATCTGAGTTATCATATATGTCCCTTCTTTGAGATCACACATGCCCTGTGCTCTTCCATTAAAACTGCCCATCATTGGCCGAAGCCGGTTTGGCTCAGTGGTAGAGCGTCGGTCTGCGGACTGAAAGGTCCCAGGTTCGATTCCGATCAAGAACATGTACATTGGTTGCGGGCACATCCCCAGTAGGGGGTGTGCAAGAGGCAGCTGGCCGATATTTCTCTCTCATCGACATTTCTAGCTCTCTATTTCTCTCCCTTCCTTTCTGTTAAAAAAAAAAATCATTAAAATATATTTTTTTAAAAAAACAAACAAACAACAACAACCTCTGCCCATCATTGTACTTGAACTGTCTGGGGACCTTGTCTCCCTCCTAGACAGTGAGTCCTGCCAGGACAGGAAATTTATCACCTCAGTCACCAAGATAATCCTAGGGTCTTATGGTGTTATGTCAAAGCAAGAACTCAAATATTTATTTAAAATAGAGAACGAATGAATAGCAAATAGCACATGCAAAGAGTTTAATGGAAGACATATACAGTTAAAGGGAGAAAAATACACAGGCCAGAAAGTCATTTTCTTGGGATAAGACATGTTAGGCACCTGATTACAATTTTGTGGATGCTTTTTCCATCTTTTGACTCAATTATCAGAAGAAATGTTCCATTCTTTGTACAAGCTGTAAATTAAAAAGGCAAAGCTTTCAGGAAAGCTGACTATCCCCAGAAACCACTTTCCCCCAGGGGTACCAGGTGGTACATTCACATTGAAGAAAATCCAGCATCCATCTCTGAGAGTTTTCATAGTACAGAGAAACAGAATTATAGAAAATACAATGTGCCAATCAAACATGAGTAGAAAGACAAAAATAATACAGGACAAGGTTTTCAAAATAAACTTGCCTTTGAGCTCATAAAACCACTGATGAGAGAAGACTTTTAATATCCAAAACTTGTGCAATGATCTGGAAAGAGTAATTATGGGGTTTTGTGGAATAGGCCATCAGTTTCTGAAAATGTGGAGGTAGCCCAAAGTAGAGAGAAGTATCTTTCTGCTTGTCTCCTAAAAAATCCAGTTTCTATGGCAGCTCTTACAAAAAAGCCATCATACAAGGAACACTACACTCATCATCATGTAATTGTGCACAATAAAAAGAAAAAATTTCCAGCCAAAACCGGTTTGGCTCAGTAGATAGTGCTTTGGTCTGCGGCTGAAGGGTCCCAGGTTTGATTCCAATCAAGGGCATGTACCTTGGTTGCAAGCACATCCCCAGTAGGGGGTGTGCAGAAGGCAGCTGGTCGATGTTTCTCTCTCATAGATGTTTCCAGCTCTCTATCCCTCTCCCTTCCTCTCTGTAAAAAATAAATAAAATATATTTTTTTAAAAAGAAAAAATTTCCTGAATTTTTGAAATGTCTAAAATAATAATGAGTGATTGTTTCCATAGATACCTGATCTTAGCAACCAATTAGACAAAAAGGAGTACTCACCAAGATCTATACGCATTACATCTCTGAAACTATAAACCTCTAGTGATTTATATATATATATATATATTTTATTGATTTTTTACAGAGAGGAAGAAAGAGGGATAGAGAGCTAGAAACATCGACGAGAGAGAATCATCGATCAGCTGCCTCTTGCACACCCCCTACTCAGGATGTTGCCCGCAACAAAAGTACATGCCCTTGACCGGAATCGAACCTGGGACCTTTTAGTCCGCAAGCCAACACTCTATCCACTGAGCCAAACCGGTTTTGGCAAACCTCTAATGATTTAAGACCATGAGATAGCATGGCAAGAAGAGCCCTGAACCATTCTCTAACTGCAAACCCTCATTTTACATTTTCAGAAAATCTCAGTCCCAAGGAGTTCATAGACATGTTTGTTTCTTTCCCCAACACCCCTAAATCCAAATTTACTAAATATTTGTAATGCCTTTAATAGCAATTACTGATTCAAATCAGCCTATTTAATGATCCCTACTTTTAACATTTATCTTTCAAAGTAACCCTGAGTTAAGAACTACCAGTGGCCATATGGGAATCACAATAAACTAAAGAACCGGTTCCAGGCTAGTGATTATGATTTAATCATGCTCAAGAATTGCAATGCACTTGGGGGTCTCTCAGGACACCCAGCCCCACCCCCCAAGTCTCAGCTGACACTGTGTTGAAGGCTG